TTATAAAATAATATTTAGAATTTAAATTTAACAATATTAACCAAAGATAATAATAAATATGTAATATATATGTTAAAAAATTGAAACATAAATTACATAACTTTAAAAAAAGTATCGATCCTTTTTATAAAAAGTATGGACACTTTCAACGTATTATAATAAAATAGGTAAATTTGCAATGCTATCGGTATAAATATACCGGTTTTATGAGCGAATAGGTCTACAACCTATATCGACACTTTTTAATATTGTGTCGGTACTTTATGTCCAGATTGGAAGAAAAATGTGTCGATACATTGTCAAAACGTGTCGACAGTTACACATCGGAACCCAGAATTATAATGTAATAGATAATTTTGTAATATAACCGGTATAAATATACCGGTTTTATGAGCGAATAGGTCTACAACCTATATCGACACTTTCTAATATTGTGTCGGTACTTTATGTCCAGATTGGAAGAAAAATGTGTCGATACCATTTAAAAAAGTGTCGACATTTACACATCGAAACCCAGATTTATAATGTAATAGATAATTTTGTAATATAACCGGTATAAATATACCGATTTTATGAGCGAATAGGTCTACAACCTATATCGACACTTTCTAATATTGTGTCGGTACTTTATGTCCAGTTTGGAAGAAAAATGTGTCGATACCATTTAAAAAAGTGTCGGTAATTTTAAGTAACGCGGTTTTTCTTCCTTCATTCAAAATATTTATATGTACATACAATAGGAGTCATGTTGATACTTACGATATATGGAGATCGTTGTCATTCTATTCCGTCTTCGAAAAAATCAGATGATGTAGGTTGTGTGCTTGTACTCAAACTGAGCTTGACTTGAGGACATGTTAGTTTGTTATGTCCCTCACCGTTGCAGTACCCACATCGCCTAATTTTCTTCTCGACCTTGTTCTTCGACACTTCTTTTCGCTTGCATTGTTTTCGTTGAGGGTCACGAACATTGTTTACTACAATGCTCTGGTCGACTGAATGATTCAAACCAAACGAGTTTTTTAATTCTTCTATTAGTTTTTTCATCTCATCTCTTGCGGTTTTGAAAGACTCGTCTGTCTTTGATGCAATGTAGCATAACCTACTTGACGTTGAACGTAGAGCAGCGAACCTTGCCATTTGCATCACTTCTGGAGACACATTCAAATCAACATAGCTGGGTGCAGAAGCCTTCACATCATTAGTCCACCTACTTTGAATCAAAGTCCCGGGCAAATATGTGTAGTCCAATTGCTTCAAAATGTGAAGTTGATGGCGACACGGAAGTCCAACGGTCTTGAATTTTTTGCAGGAGCAAATTAGAGTTTTCGTACGAGAATCAAAACTAATTTCAAATTTCCTATTTTTTTCTACGTACTTTGACAAAATATAATGTTGACATTCATCTGATAAGGACTTAATCTCTTCCTCAATCCGGTACAATATCTCCTGTATAAGTTCATCTTGGAACACACGAAAAGATTCGCGGGTAAAAATCGCAGCGGCATGGCTTTCAAGGTCGACCAGTTTTGTGATCTGGAAGGGCTTCGTATGGGAACTTAAGTAATCCGCTTTCAACTCGTTCATACGCATTCTACTAATTCCATCTTCAATTGCATGAACAACATCTAAATATGTCTTCTTGTGTTTCAGTGCAATAGCTAGTGAAGCATTCATAGACTCGCACCTTTGTGTTGAGCGAATATTGGCAAAGAAATGACCGGTTAGATATGCTTGTGCCCATAAGTGTCGTGTATTTCCCTTCTCAATCACCCATGGATGCTTTTGGACGTTGAATTCTGAAACAACCGAACACCATTGAATATCAAATTCCTTGGTTGTCCACCAGGAAGCCATGCATTTTGAGAATGCTGCTGTAAACTTTGGGTCACCAATGTTAGCTTGTGCATTGCGAGAAAGATGCCAAGAACATAATTTGTGCTTAGCATAAGGGATAACAGATTTGATAGCCCTCTGCATTGCCCTATCCCCATTGGTTACAACGGAAATAGGTGATTTATTCATCATGGCTTCTAAAAAATTCTGTAGCACCCACTCGAAAGATTGAGACGTCTCGTCAGCGATTATGGCAGTGGCAAACACAATTGTGTTATGGTGATGATTGACACCAACAATAGGCATAATTGGTCGACCATACAAATTATCTTTATACGTTGTGTCGAACGCAATTACATCACCGAAGCATGTGTAATCCGATCTCGATGTAGAATCCAACCAAATAAGATTATACAATGCCCCCGATTCGTCTACCGAGTATGTCATAAAAAACCCGGGATCATCATGTTTCTTATAATCAAAGTAGGCAATAAGCGCATTCACATCCCCATCGACGATTTCCTTTGCTTTACTCTTTGAAGTGCATTGTAGAGGTCTTTATGTGTAAATCCAACATTATGATAGCCCCTGCCTGCTGCGTTAAATAGTTCATTACTTGTGACGTGCCAACACCGACCTCTTTCAATGTTGTTGCCTCATCGATATCAGCCTTACTTACAGCTCTATTAGAACGCATAAATGGTGTCATAGCAGGTGTGCACAATGCATGATTATGTTTCTGATCAGACTTACTTATAACCCACTGATCGTTTGTATTTGTTGTTGTAACTACGACTCTAGCCTTACATCCTGTTCTTGTGAATGGCGTATGAGCACGTTGACGATCAACAGTATTGACTTTTGATACTCGAAACCCTTCTTTGGAACAACAAAATTCTTGTGTCTTCACATTCCCTTCCACGTCAAGCCGTGTTGTTCCCTTACGTGCACTAAACCCATGTTCCAGTGCGAATCCCTTGTAAAAGTACCAAGCTTGATCACGTGAACAGAAGAGCTGACCAACCAATCTGTCAGATTCATCAACATTATGTACTTCATGGCATTCCTCGGTTGGCTTAACATTGTCTACATCAATATTATCCATGGCAAAAATTTTGTTGTGCAAGTTCAGTGCTCCAGGAGTTGATGGAGATGTAAGCAAAGGTTCAAAAACATGTTTCAGTCGTGCTGCTTTCAATTGGATGTGGCATTGGTAGTGGTAGTTAAAGGGTGGGTACAACATTAAATTCGCAGTACATATTTAGGTATGTACAATAACTAACAAGTATATATTATCATTAAATTTAGGTATGTACAATAACTACATATTTAGGTATATACATCTTTTGAGTGAGTTTTAAGATATTAATTTAGTAATTATAGGTGTCTAATGATTTATTTTTTACGTTACGGTATATATTATTATTAAATTAAAAACAATACACATATATATTACATATTTATTATTATCTTTGGTTAATGTTTTTAAATTTAAATTCTAAATATTATTTTATAAAATATCAAAACAATCAAATAATTTTTTGTGTAAATGAAATTATTAAATTAATATTGTAGGTGGAAAACATGAAACACTATTAAAAAAAATTGAAACATCAATTACATAACTTTAAACAAAGTATCGATCCTTTTTATAAAAAAGTATAGACACTTTCAATATAATAGGTAAAAATATGATGTAATAGGTAGCGCTTATATAATGTAATAGGTATTGTTTATATAATGTAATAGGTAGTGGTTATATTGTAAAGTATCTATCCTTTTTATAAAAGTGTCTATACTTTTTTCACTGTGGAAAACATTAATTTAAGGTTATCTTTTGAGTGAGTTTTAAGATATTAATTTAATAATTATAGGCGTCTAATGATTTATTTTTTACGTTAAAATATATATTATTGTTAAATTTAAATTCTAAATATTATTTTATAAAATATCAAAACAATCAAATAATTTTTTGTGTAAATGAAATTATTAAATTAATATTGTAGGTGGAAAACATGAAACACTATTAAAAAAATTGAAACATCAATTACATAACTTTAAACAAAGTATCGATCCTTTTTATAAAAAAGTATAGACACTTTCAATATAATAGGTAAAAATATGATGTAATAGGTAGCGCTTATATAATGTAATAGGTATCGTTTATATAATGAAATAGGTAGTGGTTATATTGTAAAGTATCTATCCTTTTTATAAAAGTGTCTATACTTTTTTCACTGTGGAAAACATTAATTTAAGGTTATCTTTTGAGTGAGTTTTAAGATATTAATTTAGTAATTATAGGCGTCTAATGATTTATTTTTTACGTTACGATATATATTATTGTTAAATTTAAATTCTAAATATTATTTTATAAAATATCAAAACAATCAAATAATTTTTTGTGTAAATGAAATTATTAAATTCATATTGTAGGTGGAAAACATGAAACACTATTAAAAAAAATTGAAACATAAATTACATAACTTTAAACAAAGTATCGATCCTTTTTATAAAAAGTATGGACACTTTCAACATATTATAATGTAATAGGTAAATTTGCAATGCTATCGGTATAAATATACCGGTTTACTTATAAAATAGGTAAATATAAGCGCTACCTATTACATTATATAAGCGCTACCTAGTATGTTATTGTACTTTATAATATTTCCGGTTAAATAATATAACATAACCGGTCTAAATTTTAACCGGTCACGCCATATATTAGCCGTTTTTTAGACGCCGCACCGCAGAACTACCCCAAAAGCTCGTATTTTCATAATTTAAACTCTTAACTTTGCATTTTTTATTTCCTTAATTGTTTTCTTTTTATTATTTCTTCTCTCTTTTATACTTTCATTGATTATTTTCTTAAAATATACTTTAAAAAATAAAATTATATTATAAATATATTTTATTTCCTTTATTTTACAACCAAAAAATTTAAACATAATTTTTTAAATTAAAATAATATAATTATAAAATAGTATAGGTTCTATTTCAACTTAATCCGAGACTAACCCCTAAGTGAAATACGTTAGGATTGTTAATTACAAATTCCAGTGTAGCTTGAGATAATATTGGTTGAGCTTGATCGTCAACAATTTAATTTTAAGAAAGAACAAAAATCTTGTCATGTTGGCAAATTCCGCAATTGTTAATATGTCCTGCTAAAAAAACAATGATGTCAGATACTTTTAAATTTAGATAGGAATCAATTGGAAATCTGTTCCAGTAAAACCATTAACGAGGGTACCCTACTTTTCAACCAAAAATTATTCACCATTACCAGAAAATACACAACCCCCGGTTTTTTCACTCCATCTTACCCACCCCAACCCGGTTCATAGCCACAAGATTCCTAAACCCCCGATCCAAACACATCCCCATTCCCGCTCCCCCCGAAACTGCGCCGTTTTGCTCCACCATGTAATTCCTCACCTCTGCCCTTATCATCTCTTGCACCACCGCCATAAACTCCGCACTGAACCTCACCACCCCGCCTCCCCTTCCCTCCCGAGTCGACTCGGCAATCGGCTGATTTGACACCTCGCTCGGCTCTGCACCCGGCAAAGACAGACTCAGTGAAGTCGGTGGGTCGTCGTCTGAAGACGCCGCCGCCTCCGTTCCGGCAGGCGTAACATTGACATCAACATTGACTCCACCTGTCCTTGGGATGGGCTTGTACACGTGCGAGGATGATGAAACGGGAACACTAGAATCGCTCACATCGGATCCCGATGGGCTCCCGGGGCTCATGAAAAGCCCCGCACTCGCCGATCTTTTCAAGGGTTGTACATCTTCCCCTCCCAGATTACCATCATACCCTCCAGTCCCGACGAAATTACATTCTTCCCCAAACGACGACAGGCACTTGCGTTTTAGCGTGGAGTTCCAGTGGTTTTTAATGGAGTTGTCCGTACGGCCGTTCAGGAGTCGGGCTATGGTGGCCCACTTGTTACCTAACCTGGCATGAGCTCGGATGATAGTCTCGTCTTCTTCCGGGCTGAAGGCACGGTGCTCAACCTGGGGTGACAGTTGGTTGCACCACCGGAGCCGACAGGATTTGCCGGAACGACCAGGGATCGATGAGCTGATCAAAGACCAGTTTCTGGGGCCATGTTTCTGTACCAGCTTCTCGAGCAAGTCATCTTCTTCGGGGCTCCATGGACCTTTGATCCGATCCATTTCTTTTCTGTTTGATGTGTTTGTTACATCCATGAAATCAAATTCAAAGGCATGCAAAAGGGAAGGAAAATCTGGTGCTTTGAATGTGCAATTTTTTCTCTTCTGGATTGGGGGATTTTTGCCTTGCACATTAAAACTGGAGACGAAGACAACGGAGGAGGAGAATATATAAGAGAGGAGAGGGAAGTAACCGGTTGAAACGGTGAAGAGGGAAGGGAGGAGAAGCGTTATGGGTACCGATTGTTCCAGTTAAACGGTTGGGGGAAAAGGGAATACAGCTGGCAACGGACACGCGTCACATCTGAAGTGCACTGATTTACATAAGTCACACTCTTAATATCTTGCTCTCCTTTTTCAGCATTTTGCGGACTCTGTAACCTGGGAGCGTCTGTCCCACTGTCGTTGTGCTGCGTTTCATAAAGTGTGAAATTTTGGAGCTAATCTCATCATTTCAATTTTGCAGCCTCCTTATTTGCATATAAAAAAAATTGGAGCCTCCTTTTAATTTTTTTATTTTTGAATTATTGATTATATTATATATTTTTTGTAAAGACGGGCATTTCTAAATAAATTTTTGGGTGAATTTATTAAGTAATTTTAATGAGTAAAGTGAATATTATTCTCTTTAAAAAAACTTAAGAGTAAATATATATATATATTATCAATAATTAAAAAATTTAAATATATATTATTTTATAATAATCTATACGTTTTAAAAGAATGTCTTGGGTTGTTTAGAGCGTGAGATGTACGCTCTAAAGAAGAAGCGTAGCGTAGGGTTGCTTCTCGTTCACTGTCTGGAAGTTATAGAGACAAAACCGAACTCTGCTAACCATAATTGATCACGGAAGAATTTTTTTATTTTAATATAAAATCACAAAAGAGATAAAGATGATAACGGTTGGGGGAAGGTTGCGTTTGAGTGGGGAAGCCAGCCTATATAGGCATTTCCGTCCAATATTTTTTACTGCTATTTTAAAAAATAAATAAAGAAGGGCCGAAGTCAGAAGAGAAGCTAAACGATAAGATTGGTTGCCGAATGAATCATTACTGCTTTTTCTACCAATTCCAGGTTCACTTATTTAACCGCCGCCCATCTCCCCACCACCCTATTTCCCCTGCCTTCACCTGTACGGAACCGGAAAACCATAGCCGTTGATATCATAAAAATTGCACACGCTCCAACGTCCCACCCACCCGAAGGGCAGCTTCGTTGGACCTTCCTCTGTTCTATAATTAAGGTGGGGGTGGGTGGGGGGTTAATTAATTAGGAGCATGTGATGCGATTAAAGGAGGCATTTGAATTGAACGAAGAAGATATGATGCATAGATCCGTATCCATTTCGGTTACTCGTACATCGTACCTACCACCAATTGCTTGTGAATGATTTTCTTTTTCTTTTATAAACTATTTTCATATCAGACTTCAGAGTCGGTGGTACAGAACATTGTTGTTTATTTTTCATTAATTTTGATGCCAAACTGTTTTATTAAATTTCCAACCATCAATAGGAAAAAAGTCATTTCGGTGTTTCTAACAAACATAGTATGTCAGTCTAATATACGGTTAAGTAAATATGTTACTGGTTTTGTTATTACTTTTTAATAAAATCGGTAAAAATTATCAAAAATATTATTATTTTTACCGGTTTTGTTATTATTGGGCATTTTACCAGGTTTGATAATATATCTTGTAGAAAAAAAATAATGTTTTAGGTAGAGCTTTACCGGATATATTATCAAGCTCGGTAAAGCGCCCAATAATAAAATCGGTAGAAATAATAATATTTTAGGTAATATTTTACTGATTTTGTTAAAAAATAATAACAAAACCGATAACGTCTTTCTTTAATCGTATATTAAAACTGTCATACAGTATAACTTCCCAACAAACATAATTCACTCTATGACCAAATATACTATTTACTCCATCCATCTTAAAACTTTGAACCTTCCATTATTGCTTATTTTAATATTACTATTAATTCAAAAACAATTTTTTAATAGAATAATTTTTAAATATATAATTAAAATATTTAAAATAATTATCTAAACAAATCTATCCTTTTTTTGGAACATAGAGATAGGCAAAATAAGTACGATAATGTTGAAATCAAAAATAATTTGAAATATACAGTTAGTGAAAAATTATTTAAGGATTTGTTACATTTGTTATAGTGATTTGACACATGATTAGTTTTAATACAATATATAATTTTATTCGAATTTATCACAAGAATATGATAAGTTCTAATAAAAAAATATATTTTATTAGAATTCATCGCTATCACATGACAAATTTCAATAAAAATATATTTTATAGATCTTGTTACATTTCAATTCATTATAACAAATATCATAGATGCCTAAATAATTTTTCAATCGTCACAATTTTTAATTTTTCCCATAGGGAGCATTAGTTTTCTCGCATGTTGGTTGCTTTTAATATTTTTGTTTATATTTTGAAAAACAATACAAAATATAAAAATATTATTAAACAAAGAAAATATAGTAAAAAAAAGAAATTGAAATATGATACTAGGAGAGAAATTAAAATTACTTACTCAATAATAAAATATTTATAATGTTTTTTCAAACTCTATGTTTACAGAAGTAAAAATTAAATATCATATAGAACTCCAATTTTAAAAAACATCAAACTTTTTATAATAAAGTAAATCAAAATGTCTAATTATAATGAAAATTCACATATAATCAATAATTACAATACTCTCCATTAGATATCTTTCAAAGATAATGTATCTCGTTAAAATATTATTAAGATAAAAAAAAGACGTACGAACCAAACGATTTCAGTGATAAAGTAATTGTTGTTATTCTTTGAGATCTCTAGTCCGAGCATCATAAATGCTAGGGGTGTGAGCATTATGTCAAATTGCTGAAAATTATATTTGAACAGATATTATCTTGTATTTACCTCATATTAATAAAAATAAATAAAATCATGTAAAAAATTTATTAAAAAGTAATACGCATATCTTTAATATAATAACATATTTTCTTATTAAAACTTTAAACATGAATATCGGTAAGAGAAAACCTTAGTTAAAAAACTGTGTAACGCGTATTTATTCTTCTTCATCTCAATATCGTATATGACATGGGAATCTTCATAATTAAATATTTGAATATTGAAGTAGTTAATACACGAATGAATGTATCTTTCAGTTTATATCTTAAAAGAATTTATATTATCATTCTTCTATAAATCATGCATGACGAAAAACATTAGAAAAGATTATAGTAATACCTTGAAAACCCGGATTAGTAGTTTGGGTCAACCTGAGACATTTAAGTCAAGACAATTAGACCTCCTAAGATAGTTGGATCAAGTTATATAGGTGTTGGGCCTAAGGTGGACCCAAGAGTTAAAACTAAGAGATAGTTTTAAAGTGAGCTAATAGGTGAAGGACCTAAAATGTAGTTTACCCATTTTGTTGAAGCTGAAAACTTCCCCCTCCTTTTATATCATTTCACGTAACTAAACTCCACATAATATATCACCCACTCTTCTTCTTCTTCCTCCCATTAGTTTCAATTTCTTCTTCTTTTCAAGAGCCAAGTTTCAAGCATTCCAATCTTAGATTTGTTTAGCCAAGGTAAGAATATTTCTCTCCATCCTTCAAGCTTCATTTTGTGAGTTTTAGAATTTGTTTTCAAAATGGGTTTTTGGAAGTTTGAAAGGAACTTAGAGATTTAAGCTAGTTTTGAGTAATATTAAGTAGTATAAAATGGTTTAACTTAGTTTCCAAATCAAAGACAAGTTAGTAACCCCTAGTTTTGTTTTGATTATCCAATGAGGTGGGTGAAGTTCTAAATCAAAGGATAAAGGTAAGGTGGCTTCTAGTTGAGTTGAGGGAGATTTTAGCAACCAAGGAGGCTAAGTAACATACTCACAACTCTTTCATACTCCTAGTGATCATTAGAAATGAGTTCTAGCTTGAGAGTAAGTTATGAAGCTTAGTGTTATATGTTAATGATAAATTACATGATTTATGTTATAAGCATGATATAAAGCCTTATTTATGCTCCTTGTAATCACATGAGACTTTAAAGAATGTTTTGGGACCTTACTAGGGTATTTGGGATTGAAATATAGCATTTTCGTATGTATTTTATGACTTATGCAGGTAGAGTATTGATACTATAGGGATATTATCAATACTTGTTCTTCGTTTTGGGAAAATTCGTGAATTTCTAGACAAGAGTATCGATAGTCTTTCAAGAGTATCGAAACTTTGGGTCATAGTTTCGAAACTCCCAGAAAGTTTTGAAGTTGGGCATAACAAAATGTTTAAAAGTATCAATACTTATATAAAGTATCGAAACTTTTGCATGAGTATTGATACTCTTGGGCTAGTACCAATACTTTCAATCTGTTTTGGCCAAAACGTTGCCCAAGAGACCCTAGACCCATAGTATGACTATAAATGAGATCGAATAGGAGTAAAACGCTAGAATAAGTGCTATAAAAGGTGTTTAAAGTTGGGTTAAAATGGATGAAATAATTGTAGGGGTATTGATACCTTAGTTAGGGTGTCGATACTACAGAGAGGGTATTGATATTATAAGGCCAATATCGATACCAAGGGTATGGGTTGAGCTTTAAAGCACGAGTAAGTGTAGAGGCAAGCGAGGACATCAATATTGTAAGGTCAGTATTGATACCAAGGTTGAGAAGTGGGCTTTAAGTCAGGAGAAAGTATAGAGGTAAGTGAGGTTTCCCTAAAGCTTATAATTTCTCTCAAATAAGACTACAAGTGAGAACATTTATTAATGTTTAATTCAAATGTAGAAACGAGAATAAAGTAGGGTAAAATAAGACTAGCCTTGTTTGAATGCTCGGAAAAACGACCAAGCACCCAAGTTCCTTTAGAAAAGATAGCAAATTCGAAAGTATAGATTCAGTCCGGATATCCTTAGGGAGTGCATTAGGCACTTAAGTTGACTAGTTTGGGCGCAAGGTCTGACACTCAAGGAGTGGGCTAGTCGAGAGTGTGGTGTCCAATGCAGAGATTCCGGGGGCCATATTCTCAGTATACTAGAGGGGTGTGTGGGCTTCAAGATGCAGAACCCTCAGCCGCACCATGATGTCTACCAT